AAATCAATACGGACACAAAGACTCTCATCTCTTATGTCATGTCCCTCCCACAAAACCTTAACCTATACAACGAGATCCTCCTTACCAATGACCAAGTATCCAGCGGCGGCCCGGATCCCTTTAAAGTTGGGTTGGAACAGTCCTACTCTGATCTCATCAACGCGAAAATTGGCCCCATGAAAGCCGCAATTGCCAAGAACTTTCAGGAAGGTTGGAAGGAACTACTCAAATTAGATCAATACAGCACTCGAGCTTATATGGGATTAGTGGACCCCAAATACCCTCAGAACGTGAGTCAATGGAGTGTGTTTAATTGAAAAATGTTTAATATAGTATCTTCAGACGATAACCACCCTCGAGACTTTCGACTCTGCTTCCAATCTGTACGACTGTGCATTAGCTGAGACGGTCATGGACTCTATGGATTTCGACTGGCCAGAAGGCGTAGAAGACTCGGAGAAATGGTTTTGTGTACAGTACGTAGGCACATGGTTCTCGATTTTTCATTTCACTGACATTTCCTGCGAACAGAGATGGTTCCTCTGTCATTGCTTCCCGCATGGCACAAGGCCTTCAAATTCGACTTGGTCAGAGAGTGACAGCCATCTCACCCAAGCTAAACGGAACTACATGGGAAGCGGTGAATGTAACTATCTCAGGACAGGGCACAAGGACCTACGACCATGTCATCACTACCCTCCCCTTCGGCTGCCTTCGTACCGTCGACACTTCCCAATGCAAATTTGACTGGGAACTCCAACAAGCAATGCGCACCCTTCACTACGATGATTCAGTCAAAGTGGCGATTCAGTTCAAGTCTCGTTGGTGGGAGGTGGAGAAGAATCAAATGGGTGGTGTCTCCTCCACTGACCGCCCTACTCGTATTATCGTATACCCATCTTATGGTATAGGCGGCAACACGGGTGCTTCGATGATCGTCAGCTATACGTGGGCACAAGACGCAATGCGACTAGGCTCATATCGCCAAGGCAGACAATCGGTACCTGAGAAGCAGCTCATCGAACTGATTCTCAAGGATCTGTCGGATATGCACGGGTATCCCGATTCTAGCCATTTGCAAAGCTTGATAGTAGACTGGCACGTGTGGAACTGGTATGATGACCCATTTTCTGGAGGTTTGTTGCCGCACTTTCCACCTTTTATAACGTCTCTGAATTCATTCCGACTAGGTGCTTTTGCCCTATTTGGTCCAGGACAATTTAGGGACCTGTATCCTCGTGTGACGCAACCTTTTGGAGGCATTTTGCACTTTGCGGGAGAAGCAACCAGTGCGCATCATGCGTAGGTCTTCAATCCTCAAGCCTTTCCCTGTTTATCTTACCCTGATCCAATTTTAGTTGGCTGGTTGGGGCCCTCAATAGCGCCTTCCGTTCTGTTTGCGAAATAGTAAGTTACAACCTCATCAATCTTGGCTAGTATCCTGTCTAACCCTGCTCTATAGCTTCAACATGAGGGTCGCGTGGATCTCATTCGAGAGTTGATATTAAAATGGGGATTAGATGATGAGTTCGATATGGATTTGCTGCACAAACAAGTTGCTCTGGGACAGCACCAAGCCATCCGTTCACGTCGAGAGGTTACCAAATAAGGAATTTACCAAGTAGACGGTTCAATGATACAAGTTTGATGTACAAGAATACAGAGCAGTGTGAAATTTGTACCTTTAGAAAGGCATGAATGAACTCAGACGAACTTCCTGTTTTCAACGATGAGATTCTTTGTCAATTCATCTGAGATAACCTTTGGAATTAAGCGACTGTGCTATAGTACAACCTTCCAGCTACATCTGTCACCGCCCAATCTAAGCCTACGAATAGATTCTCTCCGGTAATCGCGCTACACGAACATATCTTCCAATTATGAGTCTTGATGGAACGCAGATCTAGTGCCTACCAAAAGAAAAATCAGAACTCGAGCACGTGTGAGAGAGCTCGAAACAGTTCATACATCTCTTATCTCTCCTTCCGTCAAGGAGCCTTGAATATCGTGTTTGTTTGCAAAGACCAAAAGAGAGGCGCCGGAAAGTCTCTCTTCCTGTAGCAAGTCGTGCAACTCTTTCTTACAGTCGCCCATCCTCATCCTATCACTCGAGTCTACGACCCACACCAGCGCATCTGTTTGCTCAAAGTAGTTTCTCCAGTATGGGCGTAGCGTGCGTTGACCTCCTACATCCCCTTTCCGTGGCGTCTCCATTTAGTTGTCGAAAATCTCCGATCTGAAGAAGCCACTGAACTCACAGATGTTTAGCGTATATCTGTACTTGAGTTCAGTGTCAAGTCTTGTTCTCTTGAATAGACAGAAAGAGGACAAGCGACGTACTTGCCATGAACGAACGTCTTGATGTTGAAGCCCAGCGTAGGGCTGACCGAGTATACATCCTCATTGTTAAGCTTCTTCAATATGGTCGTTTTCCCGGCATTATCTAGTCCCCTATATCCCCGAATTCATAGCGCCAGTCCCAAGTGCCTCAGATTTCGCTAGTGAATCACAAGTATATTGACGTACAAGAATAGAATTCTCATCTGCCTCTCTTTTCTGCGATTTTTTCGAATAATGGTGAGCAGTCCCATTATGGTAAGCGCGAGATGGTGGTTAGGCGTAAAGATAAGCTTTGAATCGACGACCAGCCGAGAGGACCAGGGACGATTGCGAGAGCGTCACGTAATGGAGGAGTGCACTAGAGCATAAATTTGTTCGATACAGGGACCAAACAAACCGTTATCTCTTGATCTTCCCCACGATTTTACTCGCCTTCGACTACTCAGCAATCAACGTTCGTCATGTCGGCATCCGTCAAAAGCGACCAAGAAACAGCATCTCCCTCTATGGATAGTGACGAAATCCAATTGGTAATACTATATGCTCGCCATTCCCCGTGAACGCTCCTCCGTGCGCGACGGAGGAAGACACTCGCAAAAGTTTGGGGCTTCTCTTTCCGACTATGCTGAAGGACTGGATTGCCGCTTGTGATGGGGACTGGGCTAGGTAATGATTATGGATGGTAACGTGGTCATTTTTACGACGAAATCCTCCCAAAAGTTTTTGGGGAGCGACTAGAAAGAAAATATGGCTGCGGGTATCCTTGCAAACCAGCCTCTGCTCGTGCCTCTCTGGGGTATGAGTAAAGTGTCTGGTTAAGCGGGATTGAGATCATACCGCTCGAACCTGAACAGCGCACGAGACCTGCGTAGGGAAGCCTTAAAGTGTCGCTCCACTTACCTCCCCCTCCCCTTCTATCCCTATCCGTCTATGCTTCATAGCGGGTAGGGTACTCACAGACGTACTGACCCTCCATTTCAGCGCAAGCTCGGTTATAAACAGGTACGATTGTCTTGCTTGCCTATCATGAGAACGGAGGATTAAAGATTTATGACTGACTCTACTCGCTTTGACAATGCCATTCCTCGTTTCGACAGACCCTTCATCGGTCATGGCACTATATTGAAAACTTTGCGGCAAGTTTCTGTGCCATGAACTTTATCGGTGGCGTACGGTGAATAACCAATTCCATTACA